TTCCTTCCACGCACACCTATTTCACATTTAGCTGCAAAATGTCTGACATTCTCTTTGGTTTGGTTTCGATTTTCTTTGTTGCTATCGTCTACCAGCAAGGTTTCAATAATCGATTGACGAAAATCTAGAAATGACATCTTTGGTCCAGAGAATTGGTTGTACAACATGAAAGAATTGTAAAGCAATAAGTCAATAATGTGAAAACCTACTTTCTTATACCATCGAATTGTCTTTCTGTGTGATGGATAGTAGGACAACATTTGGTCTTGTAGATCTATACCGGACATATATTTATTATATTGTGCTATTGGTGTAGGTTTCATTTTTCTATTGCCAGATTTGGAAGTAACTTCTTCTAAGTTATTTTCGTGCTCAGTCGTAATATAAAAGTACCTCACGTTTGTCCTTCCACTTGCCCACACATACATTTCCTCCATACCGATGGACGAATTCACCAGTCTTCGGTTTTGCCTTACTAACGTCGTGGGGTGTTTCCTTTCTTCCCGCACGCAAAGTTCCTGTACAGTAAGTATTTTTGTCCAACAACTGCCTGGCGAGTGTCACAGAATTATAGTAATTATCCATATAAAGACTGTGGCCCTTATCACAGTAATTGGTCATGAGGCGGAGGACAACATTTGCAGCATGCCCTTTACCACCTAAGTCATCACAAACTCCTGTATAAATCTGCATGTTCAAAACTGTCCCATTACTTTCTGTGAGTAAATAAAATTTTATGCCGTATTTATGCTTTTTATTTTTGATATATTGACGGAATAAAAGTCGGCCACGCCACAAAAGCATAGATTCGTCAATACTAAGATTTTTTCCAGGTGAATAAATCGTAAATATTTTGTTATTAAAAAATTCTATCAAAGGACGAACTTTGTATAATCGGTCAGCTGGCAATCTTTCGCCGTCTGGAGGATTCGGAGCAAAATGCCAACACCGCAATATAATCAAATATCTATCCCTGCTCATATACTTTCTCAATGACAAATTATACAAACGATCGGTTCGCCAATAGTCCCGTAACCTGGGCAACTGAAGTATTCCCATAAAAAAGGAAATACCCAAGAATACAGACATTTCTTTTCTATCGACTGGCTTCCATCTGCTTATTCTGGAATGAGGCCCCTGATCTTCATGCAACAATACATATTCGGCATAAAGATTTGTTTCTCTAACCAGAATATTAAATAATTCACTATCGGCAAGTAGATAAAAAAAGTCAATAGGTTTACCATCGCCAGGTATGGGCACCTTTAGTTCTTTCTGCCCAACAAATGGAATATTTTTTAACATTGGAGGGTTTTCTACCCACTCCATATTATCATTTTGTTGTACAATAATTGGTTCGTCAGCAGAAGGTTCAGGGTCACTTTCAGGGTTGTCACTTTCATCAGCGTATTCCGCGAATTCCTCGGCCACCTCCTCACCGCTCCATTCACTACCGGAGTCTTCAAAAGGCTCCTCATCCGAATCAGAAAAGTAAGCTAGTGCAAGCAATTCTTCGTCAGTTAACTGTTTTGGATTTCTAATTCTTGGCCTTTTAAATCCCGATGGGCCAGGAACTATGTCATCTGCCATTGTGGGATCTAGAGACGTTAAAATTCCGAACCACGCTCGAACTCGCACAATTCTAACCTCTTCCAACTTGCTACTACAGCGGCGAAAGCTCAACTGCAGTGCTCAGCATTTTGCCTCTGTTATAAGACAATAGTATCTCAGCCGACACATATGCGGCGTGAGCACACCCATACAGATGCTGATGCCGACACAGTGTCGGCATGAGCAGCGAACGTGTTAAAGACTACATTATCAGATCCTATATATTATTTTGAATACTAGTGCAATAGGAAATATAGTGAATTAGTTGTATCCCTGACAAAAATGTTGCT